AATTAGTTATCAGAAAAGCTTAATGTCTAAAACCATTTATTATTTTTGTTGGACTTTAGGAATCATTTGTGATATAACTTAAACATTTGATAGAATTACCTGTTTAACAAAGTAATTAGAAGGAGTAAACCCCTGTCTAGAGGTTGGACTTGTACCAGTCCCACTTGTTCAGGATGCACTTGGTCCTGGAAGAATATAAAGAAGCAATGTAAGTGCCAATGTAAGATGTTATGAGATTGGATAAATTTCTTGGCCATGGGAAAGCCCATAAGTATAAGGGGATTAAAATTTTTTAAGGAAATTAGAATAAATTAGGAATAAAAGGATGGCAATATAAAAAATTATACTCAAGTTGGAGAAAAGAGGGATGTGTGTGTGTGTGTGTGTGTACTTACAAGCATGTGCACATGTGCAGTATACACATACATAGTAACAGTGATAAAGGGAGAAAAGAGAGATCTGCTAGAACTGTGAAGCCATCTGGGAGTACTCACTGCAGAGGTGAGTAAATCTCCATGGCCCCTGAGAATACTCTTTGCTTAGGATATGTTGAAGGGTCACTGACCTGGACCCTGAAACCTTCTGGGGAACAGTAACCAGAAGAGCAGGTAAAATAGTACTCTCTTCTGTCAATTATTCTAGTATGTATTGAGCTTCGGCTTTGTGTAAATACCACAAGATTGTACAGTTATCTATGCTTGATATATTCAAGTAATTAGTGGGTAAATAAGTAAATGATGTCGTTTTTTGCACTCTTTAATTCACTCATTTACTGAGCACTTATTTATTCTAGACACAGAATATTCGAGGTGCTAAGAACACAATGGTGAACAATACAGAAATCATCCTGCTTTCATGGAGCATATTTATGATTGAGAGAGACATTGCAACAAAAAACACATACATATACAATTATTGCTTGGGCTAGTTCACAAAGAATAATATCTACAGTGCTGTAACCATCAGGGCAGGATCAGTTTAGATTTTGTGCTCTGAGGACTTTTGAAAGTAAGGGATAAGGGGCTGGAGTTGTAGTTCAGTGGAAGAGCGCTTGCCTCACAGATGTGAGGTCCTAGGTTCGGCCTCAGCACCACATAAAAATAAACAAATAAAAACAAAGATATTAAAAAAAAAGAAAGAAAGAAAGTAAGGGATGAGTTGGAGTTAACCAGGTCAGAATTTAAGGCTAGTGGAGATGGGATTGGGAGCATCACAAGTGCAGAATGCAGAGTTCCTGATGCTTCTCAGGCTGGAGTGGCAGTGTCTGTAATGACTTCAGACTACTTCAGAAGTAGTCCTCAGATGGGTGCAGGGGCATATGCCTATAATCCAGCAACTCAGAGGTAGAGGCAGGAGAATCACAAGTTCAAGACCAGCCTGGGTAACTTAGTGAGACCCTGCCTCAATATAAAAAATCAAAAGGGCTGGGGATGTAGGTCAGTGGTAGAACATACCTGGGTTCAATTCCCAATATTGAACAACAACAACAACAAAAGTAAAATTTGTTACAGTAACCTTTGAAAAGCAGGGTTTTTTTTTTTTTTTTTTTTTTTTAGTTATTTGCTTTGTTTTACTTATTACGAGTGCAAATCAATTGAGCCAGTATATACTTTGGAAACATTCTTTTTATTTCAAAGAAAGCATTAAAAGGCTGAATTTACTATAAAAAGCCATAATAATGTAAAACACTTTATAGCTTTTTCAGAGAATATCATGCAATTATAGTAAAATAAAGACTTCCTGTATAATGCTAACAATCAAAAAAGCAGGATTTCCTTTATTTCATGTACAATTCTCTAGTTAAAATTAGCATGAGCAAAATAAACTTTCAGGTACTGCTGTGGCTCACTCTTTATCAATTTGGAAAAGTGGGTTACCAAAATTTCAGTCATATTCCTGAGGATAACACTATAATTTCTAGTTAGCCATTTGGTAGTTCTGAGTGTATGGAAGCAATCACCAATTGTGTTCAAGGTATTCAATTTATTGTGGTATATATTTGAAGTCTAATGACATGTCAAAGAATTTTGATAATGACAATGAAGATTTTGGGGGAGGAAAAATCACTTTGGAAACCTGTATTTTGGCCTTTGATTTAAATATTAATTTGTAGAAAAATGTATGAAAAGTTTGTGACTAAATTTTTTGATTGTGATCTTTGGGAAGAGATGCAACTGAATTTGTGACTATTATATATATATATATACACACATATAGTAAACTTGAATAGAAGTTTCATGAAATAGTATTCAAATATTTTCTATTAAATCCTATTTCATTTTTTAAAGAAAATAAATTAGAAAATGTCACTTACTAAACTAATTTTGTGACATACTAATGGGTTGCAACTTGTATTTGACCTATTAATGGTCCACAATTTGTATTTTGAAAAACATTGAAAAAATGATTGTATTAAGTGGAACTTCAGAAAGGAATTCCAGATAACTCTAGAAGCATAAGATTAGAATAATTTTATCACTGCTATATACCACATCATTAATAATAGATAATTAACTAATAAGTGCTACTCTTTTTGAGAGAGAGAGAGAGAGAGAGAGAGAGAGAATTTTTTTTTAATATTTATTTTTCAGTTTTTGGTGGACACAACATCTTTATTTTTATTTTATGTGGTGCTGAGGATTGAACCCAGCGCCCCGCGCATGCCAGGTGAGCGTGTTACCGCTTGAGCCACATCCCCAGCCCAAGTGCTACTCTTACATCATTTTCTTTTTTGATACAGGGATTGAACCCAGTGGTTAACCATTGAGCATTCCTATCCCTTTTTATTTTGAGACAGAGTCTTGCTAAGTTGCTTAGGGCCTCTTTACTGAAGCTGGCTTTGAACTTGTGATCCTCCTGTCTCATCCTCCTGAGCCACTGGGATTACAGGCATGTGCTAACTCACCTGTCTACTCTTACATCATTTGAATGCCTGGGGTGATCTTGTATTAAAAAGTGTTCTCACACACACATGTGCAAAGGCACAGTTATTTACTTGAATATGCAATACCTCTCAGTAGAAAGATATATAAGAAGTTAATAATCATGGATTGCCTGAGAGAAGGAGAGCTGGGTATCTCTGAGCAAAGAAAGGGGTAAAATATTTTAATTTAGTGTTCCCTTTCATTATGATTCTTTTAAAATTTGAATTGTGAACATATTTGCTTCAGAGATTAAATTTAAAGATAATAAATTATGCACCTTCATTATTAGAAAGAAAGTGTGTGTAGGTGCTCCAGTGCTCCAGGATCAGGATTGGCAGTGAAGATATGTCATAGATGGGCAGTGCATGTCAGACAAGTATGGAGTGACAGCCTGCTTGCTATGTTTACCATCCCTGATTGAGAGTAGTTGTGTTGACAGTACTATAAAAGGATATTTAAGTGTCTCATTAAAAAGGTTTAATTTGTGTTTTGCTTATTCATATGGGGGGATGGTATAAACTATATTCTAGAATTTTTTCAATATATTAATAAATTTACATGCTTAATTTAAATGTTTCAATGCTTAAAGTAGAACTTTAAAAAATTTTAATTTATTTTGAAATAATTTCAGTCTTACAGAAAAGTAATATGAGTAAGAAAATAATAATGAATAAAAAATACAAATAATACCCATTTCCAGATTCATCTTTTGTTAGCATTTTATGTACCTTTTTTATCTATCTCATTTGTTCTTTTTTGAACCATTTGAGAGAAACTTACAAATACCATGACCCTTTCTTCTTAACAATTTCAATGTGTATTTTTTAAAATTAGGGATATTTTTAACTACATTTATTAATTAGCTGTAGTAAAATTAATATTGATAACATACTTTAATCTACTTGTTTTCCAATTTTTCAATTGATCCCAGAAACGTCCTTTATGGCATTTTACCCTCTCTTTGGCATAGGATGCAGACTAGACATTTAGTTTTCATAGTTTTTAGACTCCTTTGATTGTGAACATTTTTGTAAGTTTTATCTTTTTTACAACATTTGAGATTTTTAAAGAATATACTTCATCCTTTAAAAAATAGAATGTTGGTCATTCTGTTATTTATGATTAGATTTAGATTATGCATCCTCTAAATACTACATAGATGATGTTTCTTAGGATTTCACATTTGGAGGTGCTCATGCCCACCTGCCCCTCATCAGTTATGTTAGAATACTTTGTCAATATGTTGTCTAGTTTCTACAATGTAATATTTTCCTTTTAGAACTAATAAATATTCTACTGGAAGACTTTTTTAAACCATTCAACTATACTGATGCTCATCAAAATTTCCTCTTAGATGTACATGATTGTATATGCCTGATCTAAATTTTTACTATGTTGGTTGTAAAATGGTAGTTTTCCCAATGATAGCAGTACCTCCTTATTTACTAGTCAGTGTTCAGCATTGTGCTGTAAGCAAGAATTTTCCTTTTTCTCCCTTTTATGTATTTGTTGTTGTTATGAACTAATAAATTCCACCCCCAGTGATTCATAATTCATTATTGTGTAAAGGATTTGATTCTTGGGGTCAGTGACAACTTCATGAGATCAGTGACTTCTCTGAAATTGTGTGCAAAGTTCTGTGTTGTTTGAGCATCCTTCTGGGAATAATGTCGATAACTTTCATTAGGATCTCTTAAATAGTTCTTGACTCAAATATATTAATTTCTACTAGCTTTGTGAAGGGTTAGAGATCTTAGAATCTATAATGCTTATGTATTTATATATCCTTTGCCCTGCTTTCTACCCTAAGTGATAAGTAACTGAAATGTTAGAACCCCAGTGTGTCTCCTTCTGTAGCACATTCTATTATTTTTGTCTGCTGTTTTTAAACCACAACTTAAAATAGTATTATATTTTGGTTGCTTTATTTTATTTTTTTGCTGGAATACATAATAAATGCTAATACTTTCATTGCCACTGTAGCAATAGTTTATGGTATATAGAACCAGTCTTGTGAAGCAACGAATTACCTTGATTTAATTTGAAATTTTAAAACCAATGTTTTTTACACTGTAGTTTTATTAGCTCTCTGGGAGTGAGCTACATGATGTTGTGCACTGAAAATTACCCAAATGTTCTCGCCTTCTCTTTCCTGGATGAGCTTCAGAAGGAGTTCATTACTACTTATAACATGATGAAGACAAATACTGCTGTCAGACCATACTGTTTCATTGAATTTGGTAAGGGCCTGATTTTTTAACCTTTTTATTATCCTGTCTCCATCCATTCATAAGCAGTGTTTTATATAATACTGGCCAGGAGTAGAGGGACTTCTGCTAACTTGGTTTTAGTGGAATAGTTTGATAAATGATCTATAAGTTATGGCAACTTCTTACCTAATTTGAGTGCCTATTTTAAAAAAAATGTTTTTGAACTGTGAAGGGGATTGTGATTATTAGTTCAAGTAATTAATTCCAGAGGACAGTTTCTCAATGAGAAATATATAAGCTAGAGATTCAGAGTTTTGTGTTTATGTGATAATCTTTTATAGCCTGCTTAAGGTATAATAGTGGTTGGCAAACATTTGTTGGAAGGGACCAGAGAGTGCATATTTTAGACTTTAAGGGCCAAACAGTCTCTGCCACAATTCTTTAGCTTTATTATTGTAGCTTGAAAGCGGCCATAGGCAATACATAAATGAATGGAGGTAGTTATGGTCTAATAAAACTTTATTGCAAAAGCAGCAGGCTAGATTTGGCCTGTGGGCAGTAGCTTGCTCAACTCCTAATATACAAGAAGGGTGGGGGAAGACCCCAAGGTACAAATAGTAAAAATAAAATTCCACTTGGAAGATATTTAGAAAATATCTTTTATTGTTTTTATTACATTTATTATTTTAAAAAAATTTTTTAGTTGTAGATCAACACAATACCTTTACTTTATTTTTTTATTCTATGTGGTGCTGAGGATCGAAACCAGTGCCTCATATGTGCTAGGTGAGCGCTCTACCACTGAGCCACAAACCCAGCCCAATATTTATTCTTTAAAACACACATTCTTATGGCATAAGCAGTATTAGAAAACATATTTATAAAAAACATGTAATTTATAGTATATGTTCTTGTGTAATTATATCCAGATTTAATATTTCATGAGATAAGAATTCCTATAAATTAAGACTTTGGTTTAAAATTAAAAGCTGTTTTTTTTTTGTTTATAGTTCCTTGAAGTGGATGTAATACCTTCAGGGAGTGTTAAACCCTTAGTTTAATTATAATTACTAATTTCTAGAGTATAATTTTTGGAGTAAAAATTGATGGTTCTCTGATATATTATTTGAAATAATATTGAAAATTTCCTGACAAATTGAATAATTTTTAATAAAAAATTAAGCTGTTTATTTATAAAATTTACTGACCATAAATATCACACTCTCAAACGATTTAATTAACAAATGACTGTAAGAAAATTTATTTTTTATTTTACATAGATAACTTCATTCAGAGGACCAAGCAGCGATATAATAATCCCAGGTCTCTTTCAACAAAGATAAATCTGTCTGACATGCAGATGGAAATCAAGCTGAGGCCCCCTTATCAAATTCCTATGTGTGAACTGGGGTCAGCCAATGGAGTCACATCTGCATTTTCTGTTGACTATAAAGGTGCTGGTAAGATTTCTTCTGGTGAGTTCTAAATCTCAATTATTTCATTAAATTTTTCTGTTTTGAAATAAGAATTGAGGAACTTTTGAAAATGAATGACTTTATTTTAGTATTTTAAATCAGGTACATGAAGAATATAGAACTTCAAAGCAACCCCTTTTCCCAATTGTTTATAAAGTAAGCTACCAGATATGTGACTACTCAGGAAAATACTTTCAAATGGCAATCTCAGATGGTCTCTTTGCTAGTAAAACACTGACAGTTTTTTTTGTGAACACATCTAGAAATGAAAAGTAGCTTTTTGTAATGTTTATTTATAAGATGTAAAGTGAACTAAATTATATCAAAATTGCTACATTTAAACCAGGGTTCTTGAATATCACCGAAAATATAAAGGTCTTAATGATCATCTACTTAAGCCTCCCCTCCCAAAGAATACCACCATCTTCAGTAGTTGTGACAGGATGAAAACTTCTGCCTAAAAATGGAAATCTTATTGTTTTGTAAAGTAGCATATGCCATTGGATGAAACAACTTAAAATTCTTCCTTGTAAACTAATCTAAAGTCTGCTTCTCTATAATGCTTACCAGTTTGTCTAGGTTCTATGATCTCCCTTGAGCTGAACCAGAATAGTAGTTAAATCAGCAACTCTGTGTCCTTTCTACCCTTTTAGTCTAATCTCCTTCATGTAAAATACCCTCAATTCTTTTAGATTTTTGTCTATGGAATTTTGAAGTCTTCCCAATTCTAGAAACTTCCTCTAGACATTTTTTTAGTATTCTTTAAATGTGATGCTGAACACGACACTTTTGGTTTGATTAATAGAAATGTGGGAGAAGGATGAAACAGATTTCACTAAATAATCTGGTCACTCATTAAACAAGGACAAGAAATAATAAAACATCTAAATTGCAGAGAAAGAAATAATGTAATTCTATTTTATATGTTATAATCTTTTACTTAGAAAATCCTGAGGAATCTGCCAAAAAAAAAATCTAATAAACAAGTTCAGCAATGTTGCAGGATATAAGATCAATATACAAAAATCAATTATATTCTGTTCACTAACAGTGAATAATTTGAAAATAAAATTAAGAAAATTCTATACACTGAAAACCATGAAACATCATTGAAGGAAATTAAAGACCTAAATGAAGGTAGTTTTATGTTCTTGGATTAGAAGACAGTATTGTTAAGATAGCTGGTAATATGTACTGGTAATTATCCAAATTGATATACAGATTAAACACAATCCCAGCTGTGTGTTTTTTTTTTAATAGAAAACTGATCCCAAAATTCACATCAAAATATAAGGGACAGAAAATAGGCAAAATAATCTTGGAAAGAAAAAAGTTGGAGGGCTCCCAGTCACATTTCCAAACTTATTACCAAACTACAGTAATTAAAACTGTATGGTGTGGTTTAAGGATAGACATGTTGATCAGTGAAATAAAATTCAGAGTACAGAAGTAAATCCTTTCATTATGGTCAATTCATTTTTGACAATGATGCCAAGACAGTGGTGAAAGAATAGATTTTTCAACAAATAATGCTGGGGCAACTGATATATATATGCAAAAGAATGAAGTTGGATCCCTACCTTCCTATATATGAACAGGTATGCATATATATATATATATATATATATATGTATATAAATTAACTCAAAATAGAGCAAAGTCCTCAGTTTCACAATTAAAACTATTAAACTCTCAGAAGAAAATGTAGTTGTAAATCATTGTGATCTTGTACTAGGTTTTTCAGATGTAACACCAAAAGCACAGTGAAAGGTGAACTTCATAAAAACTAAAACCTTTTATTCTTCACAGGACATAATCAAGAAAGTGAATACACAATCCATAGGATAGGAGAAAATATTTGCAAATCATATATCTGATAAGGGACTAGTGTCTAAAATGTACAAGTAACTCTTATAGCTCAACAACAAAAAATATAGTTTATAAATTGGAAATATATTTGAATAGGCATTTCTACAAAGATTGTACAACTAGTTAATTATCACATAAAGATGCTCAACATTATTAGTCATTAAGGAAATATAGAGCAAAATTATAAGGAGATATTATTTCATGCCAACTAGGATGGCTAAAGACAGACAATTAGATATGTTGGTGGGGAGAAATTGAGACTCACAAACATTACTGCAGGAAAATTCCTCCAAAAGTTAAACACAGAGTTGCCATATTACCCAACAATGCTACTCCTAGGTTTATATTATAGATGAAAATATTTCCACACTAAAATGTGTATATGGGGGCTCGGGCTGGGGTTCAGCAGTAGTACACTTGCCTGGCATGTGTGAGGCACTGTGTTCAATTCTCAGCACTGCTTATAAACAAATAAAGTTCTATCAACAATTTAAAAAATTAAAAAAATGTGTATATGAATGTTCTCAGCAGCATTATTAAGAATAACCCTAAAGTGGAAATAGCCCAAATCTCCATCGATTGATGAATGGATAAGCAAAATATGGTATATCCATCCATTCAATCAAATACTTAAGTAACAACAACAGCAACAACAAGGAAATAAAGTACTGATACACGATACCACATTGGTAAACTTTAAAAGCATTGTACTGAGTGAAAAAAAGCCATATATAAAAGACTACATATTTATAATTTCATTTACATATAATGTCCTGAATAGGCAAATCCATAGAGGCAGAAAGTAGATTAGTGGTTAACAAGAGGTTGAGAGGTGGCAATGTCTGCTACTATGAGTGGGCATGGAATTTCTTTTTGCAGGTGACAAAATATTGTGGAATTTAAAGTTTTAGGATCCTTAAAAGTTTTAGTATAAGGGCTGGGGTTGTGGCTCAGCAACAGAGCACTTGCCTGGCACATGTAAGGCACTGGGTTCCATCCTCAGCACCACATAAAAATAAATAAATAAAATGAAGGTATTGTGTCCATCTACAACTAAAAATATTTAAAAAACTTATAAAAAGTTTTAGTATATCTCTGAGTATACTAAAACTGTGTGAAATGTGTACTTTAAAGGAGTAAATATTATTGAATGTGGATTGTATTCAGTTTTTAAAATCACTAATAAATGAGAGGTTTATTTGAAGACTTCCAGATCTGTTAGTGATGGAATAGGTAATTGAGACCAGCAGTTCCACTATGTACCTGTATAAAAGCTGGATGTAATGTTCTGTAGAATATGTAGGTTTACTCTAATATATAGAATTTTTAAAAAATAATTTTTTAGTTATAGATGGACTCAATACCTTACATTATTTATTTATTTGTATGTGGCGCTGAGGATCGAACTCAGTGCCTCACACATGTTAGGCAAGCGCTCTACCACTGAGCCACAACCCCAGCCCCTGAAGAATTTCATCAACATAATCTTCCTGGAGTCTTGGGAGATCCACAAAGTTTACTAAAAATTACTAGGGTTACAGAAGAGGATGGAGCCCTGGGGAGAGAAACCCAATGTTTCCAGTTCTAGAGGGAGTAGGTGACAGCCTCTCAGAACTAGGGAGGCAGATTTGAGAAAAGGGCCCACCAAGGTGGTGAACCTTACCAGCCATTCCTCAGCTTTGGACTAGAACCTGGATGTCTGCACCCTGGGAATATGGGTAACTGAAGTAGATAGGCTCTTATAGAGATTGGATCTCAGTTGTGAATCATCATGTTCTCTAAAATTGGAGTGAGGTGATTATTCTGTGCTTAATGTTCCAAAGATCCTGGCAGAAGCAAATAGTTAGTTTTTTTAAAATAATAATAAGAAGATAGTTCCATAAATTTCAAATTATGTCTGCAATAAGATATTGAAAATAGAATGCTTGGAAGTCATAAATAACCACGTACCTAAAGACTAGACTATATCAACACAAACCATCAGAAATGCACAAAAGGTCTGATTAAAAACAATGGAAGCCAAAAGGCAACTTAATGTTATGTTCTAAAGGAGAAACAAAATAACTGCAGATTTGGAGGCCTGTGCTTAACCAAAATATACTCAAAAGAATGAAGTAGCAAAAGAGTAAATAGCCTTGTGTTGTTCCTGTCTTGATCTTAGAGAAAGTGGTTGTACTAATTTTGCAGTCCCATCAATATGCATTAATGGATCTTTTTCACCACATCCTTGCCAGGATTATTATTATTTCTTCTTCTTCTTCTTCCTCCTCCTCCTCCTCCTATTATTATTATTACTACTACTACTACTACTACTACTACTACTACTACTACTACTACTACTACAACAACAACAACAACATTACCAGGGATTGAACCTAGGGATGCTTAAGCACTGAGCCACATCCCTAGCCCTTTTTTATATTTTACTTAGAGATAGGGTCTCACTAAGTTGCTGAGGCTGGCTTTGAATTCGTGATCCTTCTGCTTCAGCCTTCCAAGCCACTGGGATTATAGGCTGTGCCACTACACCAGGTTTATTATTCATATTCCTGATATTTGCATTCTTATTGAAGGGACAAAAAATCTTAATGTAGGGTGGCTTTTTTAAAATTAGTTGCTCATGACAATAAATGATCTTGACATATCATACATTTGATTCAAATGGGGTATGAATTCTCATTTTTCCACGTGAACAGATTGCTGTATAACATTGGTTATACAGCCATGTATATACATACAGCAATACTAGTGTCTGTTGTATTCTGCTGCTCTTCCTATCCCCCCCACCTCTCCCCTCCCATCAACTCTCTCTACCCAATCTACTGTGATACATTTCTCTCTCTTTTTCTTCCCCCTCACAACATCATATATGTATTTTGTATAACGATGAGGGTCTCCTTCCATCTTCYGTGCAATTCCCCTTCTCCCTCCCATTCCCTCCCACCTCCCTTCCCTGTTTAGTGGTAATTTCTTCTCATGCTGTTCCTCCCTACACTATTTTGAGTCATCCCCTTTATGTCAGAGAAGACATTTGGCGTTTGTTTTTTAGGGATTGGCTAACTTCACTTAGCATAATCTGCTCTAATGCCATCCATTTCCCTGCAAATGCCACTATCTTGTTATTTTTTAGT